GCGCGGCGCCACTATGGGCGACTGCGCCAAGCTTAAGGACGAGGAGGGGGGGGAGGAGGAGGAGGAGGAGGAGGACGAAGGAGGAACACGCCTGGAGGTATACTTGGCCCCAGGAGTGCGAGAAGCATTCCTGAGCTGCCACGAAGGCAACTATGTTGCTGGCGGGCCCGCCACAGACGGGCTTGAGGTCTATGCCGCCGTCAAGACCGCGGTAGTCGAGCGCGACGCTGATCTCCTGACCAAAGAGGAGGTGTCGAGGCTGACCAAGGAGGTGGCCGCCGCCATCCTCGAGGAGCTCACCATCTGGGTCAAGCACAAGTGTTTCGATCGACGTCCTCTCAAAGGCGCTCGGGACGTCATGGGCTCCAGGCGCGTGTTCAAATGGAAATGCTGGAAGGGATCGGTCGGCAGGGCCGTCGGGATCATCTGGTATCTGGTTCCGCGGGGCGATGAGGGGCTACCGCGACGCGGGCGCCGGAGCCCTGGGGGCCTTTGCTGGCGCGGCGAAGCGGGCGTCTCAGCGCATTCTGTCCTCGGGGGCGGCTTGTCGCTCGGACTGGGTTTGCGTTGCCGCGGGCGTCGAGAAAGCGCTCTTGCGTGGAATGACCTATTCCGAGATGCAGGAGCAGGGCGAAGCACCGGGAGAGGTGATCTTCACCCTGCCGCCCAGCAGCGCGGCCGTCTTCAGGCAGGTCCCAGGCTGCGAGTCCTTCGACGGGCGGGCCGATTTCCTGCGCTGCATCAAGCCGGGCACGGGCCGCAAGGATACGCGCAGGCCTTTCTCCATGAAGCTCGCCCGGGTCACGCGCTCGCCCGAGTGCAGCGCCGAGCCGACGCTGTGGGGCCCAGAACTTGAGGGCAAACGAAAGTTATCCAGCGTTTGTGGTGCCGGCGGCTCACGGTCAGTGCCGATGCTGTCTGAGCGCGTTGGTGATCTTAAGATCGCGGGGCGCAAGGAGCTCGTCGACCGACTAATCGGCCAAATCGAGAGCGTCTCCTGCAGGATGAAGAGGGACTGCGACGGCTTCGCAAACCGCGGAGCCCGCCAGCACCGCAGTGCCGATGGCATAGTGAAACTCGGCCAGGACGAGTACATCGACGCGCTGATCCTCGCCGGGAGTGTCGACCTGATCAAGTGGGAGGCCGACGAGCTGGCCAGAGGTCCCTTTCCGGGCACGTTTCTCTCCCTCATCCGAGCTGCCGCTTATGCGCTGCTCGCGCAACGCCGCGTTGCCGTCTGCGTCGGCGCGCTGCAACGGGCGCGGGGCAATCTGCTCATCAGGCGCGCCGTACAGCTCAGCTTCATTATTCTTGCCAAGCAGAATATCAAAGCGCGCCGCCTTCCCAGCGATGGAGCGCGCGGGCCAGATCTACGTGCACAGCGACGGCTCGTTCAAGCGAGATGAGGAGACAGGAAGCGGCATGCGTGGCGGCGTATGCATGCGTCTGGGCAGGTGTCGCAGTACTTTAAACAGACTTGCCACTTGCTCGACGCTGTGGGCCAAACGCACAAGCTTGTGCGCGTACATCCTCACTCGGCTCCGAGCTGCCCGCAGCACGTGGAAAAGCAGACGGCCTGCAGGCGCACCTCCTCGCTCTCCGCGAGATGGCACGCGGGCCTGCTTCAGCAGATGACATCAGGGGTCTGGAGGAGGAACGGGATAACGCTGTGCTGGCCGACCTGGTTGTGGACGGCATGCCCGCCTTCTCCGCGCCGGCCGTGGGCCGCGTGCGGCCGCCATCTGAGCATAGTACGGCGGGCCACCTGTGGTGGCTAGCAGAGCAGCTGCGGGCAGAACAGCTATCCGACTTGCTGTGGTGCGACACAGGCGACATGAGGGCCGACCCCATGACGAAGGCGAGCGTCGGCCAGGAGGCCAGGAGCTCATCCTCGATGCCGTGGGGGGGGGGCTCGTCAACGCACGCCACGCGGTCTGTTTAAGCGAGGAGCGTCGCAAGAGAACGATGCCGAACTCCAGCTATAGCAACGTCAACAAGGACAACGACGACGGGTGATCTAATCGATGTCGTATGTTCGAGCTGTGCTTGCGAATGCGCCCACCGACTCGCAGATCGCGAAGTGTGTTCGCGAATGCGACACAAGACAAGGGGAAGAGGAGTTCGCATATACTCGCGTGTCACGAACTATGTTCGCGAATGCGACGTACTGAGCCATGCCAGTGAGGGGCTGCCACCATGAATTATGTTCATGGGGCAGCAGGCCGTTGCGGTCGAGCACATTAATAAGTAATCCTGCTGTGCTTCACGACTAGTCTGCCGTCGGCCTTTCTGCTCGGTTGTGACGCAGTTTTTATGAGGCACCCGGTCAGCAGAATATCCACTGTGCAGTGCAATTGAATATGGGGTGGTGGTCAGTCGAACCCCCCGTTCTGTCCAGTTCCGTATTGTAATATTTAGTGTGGCTAGTGTGTCGGGCCTGGTAGTGGTCTGGACGGCTTGCGTCTGGGCTGCCAACGAGGACGGGCCCGTTTGAGCACCAGAGTCGAAAAGGGGGGCCACCTTTTCCTTTGTGATATTTCTGGTCCTCCTGTCCAGGGCCACAGAGCAAGCGTGTGCTTCGGGTCGCCATTTTTGTTCAAACCTGGCCAGGCAGCGCGCCCGTTATAATACACATATCGCTCTCAGACACACCTTCTGCTCTACGGTACAACATATTCTTTCGCCATCCGTTTTGCATTTTAGTCTCCTCCTCTTCCTGCTCACTTCTTCTCCTACGGTTTCCCTCCGCGACCGCGCGTGGGGGAGCAAAAGGAGCAGGATGATGATGACGATGATGATGATGATGATGCTGCTGCTGATGATGATGATGATGATGATGAAAATGATGATGATGATGATGATGATGATGATGATGATGATGATGATGATGATGATGATGATGATGATGATGATGATGATGATGATGATGATGATGATGATGATGATGATGATGATGATGATGATGATGATGATGATGATGGATGATGATGATGATGATGATGATGATGCTGATGATGATGATGATGATGATGATGATGATGATGATGATGATGATGATGATGATGATGATGATGATGATGTGATGATGTGGTGGTGGTGGTGGTGGTGATGATGATGGTGGTGATGATGATGGTGGTGATGATGATGATGATGCTGATGCTGGTGATGACGATGACGATGACGATGATGATGATGATGCTGATGCTGATGCTGTTGCTGATGATGATGATGATGATGATGATGATGATGATGATGATGATGATGATGATGATGATGATGATGATGAGGCGGATGAGGACAAGACAGGACATCCGTATAAAAGGGGGTCTTGCGCGCGTCTGGTAAAATCCCTTTCGATTTGGTTGTGCAGCGGCCCTGGCTTCTCACTAGGGCCGGCAGGGGGCATACCCCGAAGCTTCAAGGGGTGAACTCCGAGGTGGCCCCGTCAGAGAGGCTCGCTACCTTTTGAGTACGAGTCCCTGCGGGTCAGTGAGGAGGAGGAGGAGGAGGAGGAAGAGGAGGAGGAGGAGGAGGACAAGAAGGAGAAGGATGACGGTGATGATGAGGAGGATGATGGTCATGATGGTAATGGTGATAATGATGAGAATGACGATCCGATCTTGCAGATGATGATGACGATTATGATGCTGCTGCTGCTGCTGATGATGATGATGATGATCAGGAGGAAGAGGAAGAGGATGAGGAAGAGGAGGGGGAGGGGGAGGGCCAGAGTAAATCCAAGATGCCTCGACGAGGCTGCAAGACCTCCTTCTGTTCCAATTCCCCTCCCCATACGTCGCTACCAACTCTCTTATTCACTACAAGAAATGCCCCCCTGGAAAGATCAGCACCATATGGGCCTGCCATTTTGGCGACGGCCCAGTTTTGCAAAGGAGCTGCCTTGCATTCTTCTGGCGCGAAATCAGGAACGCGAGAAGCTGTGATCATACAATTCAACGATGTGTGCAGCGATATTCCTTTTTGGATACAGGGTCGCCCCCAAGCTTGAAATTGTGGTCATGAACCTCGAGGAGAGGTGTCTATCGAGAGCTCCACTTAGAAAAACAGTCGCCTTCGATCCGTGCAGTGCCGCGTGTGTTGGACTTTAGGGTATTTGAGATTACGGAACTCTCGGGCGAGAGACCTATTTCGAAGAGGAACTTGTCTCTGTCTTTCTAACCGTTGCAGCGTTTGTGCAGCGAAAGTTGCTCGCGCGGCGAGCCCGATTTTGGAAACGACCGGTGCTCCATCCCTGTAGCTGGTGCAAAATTACGAGATGAATGGGCGTGGCCGTGAGGCCACAGCCTCACTTTGAAAAGTAGTCGCCCTCCGTTTTTGAAGCTGCTGCAGGCTTGGAGGACGAATGCTTTCGGCGCCCAGGCGAGAGCTTCATTCTGAAACGACCCCCCTCCGCCTTTGCAGTTCGTTGTCGCATTTTGAAACGCATGTGCGGGGCGCTGAGGCGAGAGTCACAGTTTGTCAAGGAGTGGCCCTCCATCCTTGAAGCTGCTGCGAGTTTCTCTAAGACGACTGCGCGCGGCCGGGCGAGAGCCTCTTGTTGAGATGGCCTCCCCTCTGCCTTGAGGCTGCGGCGAACTTTAAGACGAATGCGCGCGATGCTCAGGCAAGAGCCACATTTTGAAAACCACCCGCGCTCCATCCTTGAGCTGGTTTACGATACATTTCAAGCTTCAGGATCATACAGGGTGAGGAAATCTCCGGCGAAACGCCCCGCCCGCCCTACCGTTACGTTTGGGGGTGCGACAGGGATGAGTTTTTGGCAAGTTGGAGGGGTAAAGAAGGAAGGAAGGAGGATGAGGAAAGGTAGATAGGCTTGTTTAAACTTTGGAGTGTTTTCCCTCCCTCTCCCGCATCGATGGCTGAAGACGGGTGCTACCGAAGCGGCCTGCTGACAGTAATAGCGACAGGAGGCTGAGGAGATCGAGGAGGCGCACGCGATCTCACTGCTTCGAGCCGGTTGCCGCCGGCTCCGCCCGCAGGCGTTCAAGGGCGCAGCGAACGTGGCGCCGCTGGGTGGTGCCGCCGACTGTGGCGGTGGGGGGGGGGCGCACTGGCCATCCACGGCCAGCCGACATCCATATCTCATCATCGTAGGAACCATGCCCACTCTGACCTGGACAGGGTACGGTGGCTCTCCCAGTATACTCCCCACCTGATGGTGATGGGTGCTGCGAAGCCCGGAGGAGACGGTGCCCATCCCCGCCGAGGGCAGGGTATGTCGGCTGGCTGGGCCCAGGTTTCCCTAGTGGGGTGGGGATTTCCTCCACAGCCACAATCTATCCGTACGCCGAGTTCAGCACTGGCCTCGCCTTCGGCTCAGCTCGCCCTCGGCGGAAGCCGGGCCCGCGGGCGAGGGCCGACAGAAACCCTTGCGGAAGGCGGCGGGGGTAGACGCCCGACGTCAACTTTTTTTTTTTTGATCCACGGTCTCTTGAGTCGGCCACGCACAGCCAGGAACGCTTGCTCAGCGTGAGGCGCCGCTGGTTCTGGCCCACTACGCGTCTGCGCGACAAGCCGACCACGTCCCAGCTCCCAGGCGTCAAGTCTTCCGGGCCTCCCGCCCCGCGGAGCGGAGCGAAAACACGACAGCCGCTCGCCGGGCACAGCGTGTCGCCGGGGCCGCCGCCGCGTCACGCTGAGCAACAGTTCCTGACCGCTTGCGAATCGTGCCGCTAGTTTCAGTTCATAGTTTGAGGGGCAAGGGTCCTGGTGGTGCGGCGCGCGTGCTCGCGGAGCGGAGCGACACCACAGCCGCTCGCCGGGCACAGCGTGTCGCCGGGGCCGCCGCCGCGTCACGCTGAGCAAAAGTTCCTGACCGCTTCCGAGTCGTGCCACTAGTTTCAGTTCGATAGTTTGAGGGGCAAGGGCCCTGGTGGTGCAGCGCCTATTCCCCCTGGTGCGCAACGCGCGTGCTCGCGGAGCAGAGCGACACGACAGTCGCTCGCCGGGCACAGCGTGTCGCTGGGGCCGCCGCCGCGTCACGCTGAGCAAAAGTTCCTGACCGCTGCCGAGTCGTGCCCCTCGGGATCCCGGGGGAGCGGTGGGCACACGGGGTGCCCGCCTGCCCCCCCACGGGGGGGGGAGGGGCTGGCCAAGAAGCAAGAAATTAGTATTATGAAGCGGACGGATGATGATCGGGAGGCGATGAGGGAGGAGAGACGAGGGATAGATGGGGATGTGGAGGGGTGGGGAGGTGGAGGAGCGGGCTGGGAAGATGGACAAACAAGGCGAGAGAGAGCCCTGCCCCCCCCCCTCCCTGTGGGCGGGCAGCGGTCCACGCCTACCGCAGCTCCAGGGGCCTCCGGGCAGGGCCCAAACGGGAGCTGTGGCCACAGCATCCGCGTCCGGACGCGAACGTGTCGCGGCGGTTCAGGCCAGATGCCAAGGACTCCAAAGTTGAGCTGAAAAATTCACTGCGGAGGTCTTTCGGCGAGTTCGTCCCCGGGGGGCCCTCGCCAGGCCACGGCGGCCGCAACAGAGACGACGCTGGAAGCAAAGCTGGCCCCGGAGAGAGGGTCGGGACTTCCGGGGACCCCGCACCGACTACTATGTGTCAAAACACGTCGGAGCTCTCGGGAGGAGCGCGGGCGGCTCGCACGCGGGAGGCGGGAGGCCAGGGAGCGTGCGCCTGCTGTGTGTTTCTCTTCGCTCTGCTGCTCCTCCCTCTCCCGCGCCTCCTCGCCCCCGCCTCCGTCCTGTCCAGCGCCCGTTCCCGTGGCAGGGAGGGCGGGGCACCGCCGCGCGGGGGTCCAGGAGCGCCACCGGCACTGGTGCTGGGGGCCGTCTTGCTCAGCACTGCGTCTTTGCCACCGCCAGGGAGGAGGAGGAGGAGGAGGAGGAGGAGGAGGAGGAGGAGGAGGAGGAGGAGGAGGAGGAGGAGGAGGAGGAGGAGGAGGAGGGAGGAGGGAGGAGGAAAAGGAGGAGGAAAAGGAGGAGGAAAAGGGAGGAGGAAAAGGAGGAGGAAAGGAGAGGAGGAGGAGGGAGGAGGAGAGGAGGAGGAGGGGAGGAGGAGGAGGAGGAGGAGGAGGAGGAGGAGGAGGAGGAGGAGGAGGAGGAGGAGGAGGAGGTGGAGGAGGAGGAGGAGGAGGAGGAGGAGGAGAAGGAGGAGGAGGCGCGGGTCTCGCTCCCGCATCCTGCGTGCACTTGTCCCATGCCGCGGCGCCCTGGAGTGTGTCGCGCAGGCCAGGGCCGCGGCGTCCCGTGGCGCGGAGGCCTCAGGGAAGCCGCCGGCGCCCGCCGGAGCCTGTAGCGGAGTGCGCCCGTGTTCTTCACTCCCTGCGCCTGTTTCGCTTCTGGGACCGATGCCGAGCCCGGCGGCCACTGCTGCGACGGCCGCCGTGCAGGAAAGGGCTCCCGAGGGAAACGGGCCCCAGGCCCCTGGCATTCCCCACGACTATAGTCCCTCACTGTAGTCGTGCTTCGATGCTCCCCGGGCCCGCCCAGACACATGGCGCTCAACGTGTTGTGCGCGGGCTCGTGGAGGTCTGGACCACTTCCCCGGGGCGGGCTCTTCACCCCGAGTCATCTTCTGGCGGCCCCGGAGCCCGTGGAGGGCCCCAGGGAGGCCGAAGACAGCGGACAACGGCGGCCGCCCCGGTGGCTGCCAGAGCCTCGGACCAGCTGGGCCCCCGGGGGGCCTCTCTCCGGGTGGAGGGGGCGCCGCCCCACCCTAGGGCGAGGTCCGTGCAGGACGGGGCCCCTCCCCTGGGGGGCGGCAGAGAGGGGTGTGTGATGACTAGGGGGGGTGGGTGGGTGGAGGATATCATGGCGTGGGCCATGATCTTTCCCCAGGTCTCATGGCGCCTCTTCTTGTTTCGTTACGGCCCTGGCCCCCCCCCCCCCCCCTGGGCCGCGCACATGCCTCCGGTCACGACTTGCATTCCCCCCCCTCCTGGACGCCCCCCTCTTGGCCGCCCCCGACTTCCCTGGGGGGCCCTGACTGGTCCTCTGGGCAGTCGTCCAGGTCTTGGCGGCGAGGACGCCCCGAGAAACGCCGACAGAGCTCTCGAAGCGCAGCCGCCGACCCAGACCCAGGGAAGCGTCGTCGGCGACATCCGAGCCCTTTCGAACGTCGGTTTGATGTTTTTGGACGTCTTAGTGGGTTCTCGGTGGCTTTCCAGCCTCGGGATGCGTCCTGAGGGGAACGTGTTCTGGGGCTCGGAGCCGTCTGGCGGTCTGAGGTGGCCCGGTTCCAGCCTGCAGGAAGGCTGGGCAGGCTCGAGCTTCTGGGTTCGGGGAAGTTTTTGTTTTTTCTGGCCTCAGGGGACCGTTTTCGGGCCCGGGGACAGCGGAAAACGGATCTTGGATCAAACATTGCACCATATGGATCCCAGGAGGGGTCCGGGGAGCGATTTTGAGCGGATTTGGCCCCATCCCCACCCTCCTTACCCATCTGGGGTCCCAACCAGTTCAGACCCCGCAGCGGCCTCCAATCCTCCAACCTGTGGCTCATGTTTCTCAACACTGCGTCGATTTCGTCCTCCAGGTAGCGTCGTCTGGCCGTGTGATCGTCCGTGTGATCGGCTCTCAATGGCGTTCTTGGTCTCCAGATGTTTTCCAACGGCGAGCCACGGATTTTCAGAACTTGTCCACTGTCAATGAACACGACATGTGAGTGACCCCCCCTCTCTCTGTTACATTCTAGGCCTCCTAGACGGGGTCGGAGTAGGTGGGGTCGGAGGATCGCGCCGCATCGCCGATGCATCGCCGATGCGGCTCGATCTGCAGCCCGATTTGTTTCACGTCGACGTCGCCGATGCATCGCCGACGTCGACGTGCATCGCCGGCGCATCGCGGATGCATTGCCGATGCATCGCCGATGAATCGGCGATGCGGCGCGATCCTCCGACCCCGTCGAGGAGGCCTCTACATACGCACGTACTGTTTCCTAGGATAGTGGCGCGCGCGCGCGTATAGCACGTTGCCGAGTGCCACCGCCTGCATCCTTAATGAGCTTGCCTTCCGGCGCACGGGCTTGACCTCTCGACCCCTTGGGAGGCGTCGTCGTCTCCAGACAACCAGCGCTCCAATTTTTTCGATGCGTAGACCCCCAGAGGTCTGGACCTTTTCCCTAGGACCGATTTTTCATCCTGAGTAGTTTTTTGACGGTCCCAGGATCCGTTGAGGGCCCCTGAAGGCCGAAAAATAACCCCGAACCAGCCGCTCCAATCTTTCCGGAGCCTTGGATCTCTGGGCCAGCACTCCGAGGCGTGGATTGATACATAACCACCGCCTGGATGATCGATTTTCGGAGCCTTCGGTGGATATGGATACATCCCCGCCTCGCAGGCACTGCGCCGATTTCGTCCTCTGGGGGGCGTCGTCGTCGGCGCCGCCGCCCCCGCCCGGGGCGCACTTGAGGCGCGGCACGGCCAGCATGCCCAGCGGCGCCCGAGGCGCGGCCCGGCCGGCCGCCAGCCGCCCTCAGAGCCCGTGCGCGCGCTGCGGCACGCATGCGCGCGCGTCGTCGTCGTCGTCGTCGTCGTCGTCGTCGTCGTCGTCGTCGTCGTCGTCGTCGTCTGTCGTCGTCGTCGTCGTCGTCGTCGTCGTCGTCGTCGTCGTCGGAGGAGGAGGAGGAGGAGCACGACGAGGAGGAGGAGGCGGAGGAGCACGAGGATGATGATGATGATGATGATGATGATGATGATGATGATGATGATGATGATGATGATGATGATGATGATGATGATGATGATGATGATTGAGGAGGAGGAGGAGGAGGAGGAGGAGGAGGAGGAGGAGGAGGAGGAGGAGGAGGAGGAGGAGGCGGAGGAGGAGGAGCACGACGAGGAGGAGGAGGAGGAGGAGGGGTATTGAAGGATGATAAGTCGGAGGAGTAGGAGAGAAGAGGAGACGTTCCCATCCACCCCTCCCTCCCTCTCCTTCTCTCGCCCGTCCTTCGCACGCTCCCCCCTCCCCTCGCCTCCCCTTCTCTTCCGTCTGTCCACCCCTCCCGTCCCGCCCCTTCCACGGATCAGGA